TGGGGGAGCAGAGCAGGCTCCTGCGTGGTGAGGTGCTTGGTGTCGAGGGAAAGCCATCCAGCTGAACAGCTTCCCGTGTGATGTGACGGCGTTCAAAGCCGTGAGACCCTGCCCAAGGCTGAGGTGTGATAAGTAAAGGCACTTGAGCTTCTCCACCCCCAGCAGATACTGGATATCCTCATGCCGGGGTACCTGTGCAGAGAATAATTCCAAGCCTTAATGAATTTCTTGAATTCAGGATAACTTTGTGGGTTGTGTGTGTTCTTTGACCGTTTACAGAAAGATTCTTGGACCCATCATTGCCATTTACAAAAAGAGTCTTGGACCCATCGTTGTTAAGCCTGGGTTTTTCTGTCCAACACGTATTTATTCCATATGTAAACTTTTGTTCTTTAAATTATGGTGGGAGACAGGAAACTTAGGAAACAGGACCAGTCCTTAGGAAACAGGACTCTTAACTGGGTTAAGAACAGGTCCCATCATCCACCTGCCCCAATAACTTTCAAACCCATCCATCAGTTTCAACCAGGCTCCACAGCAGTTAAGCTGTCTATAAGCAACAGTTTGGTGGTGGGGGGCTCAAAAAAGGCAGTCCAGATTGTTCCCTGGTTGGAAAAGAGGCTCAAGGATGAGCCCAGTGGCCATAAGTTGGGTTTATCCAGCTGTCAGACCATCAGTATATTTGGAGCAAGGAAACAAACCTTTGTGTACCTTAGCGAGAGCTGTGTCTGCAAAGGGAAGTGTTTGATTCCAAGTATCCAGTGCACATGCAGTTTATGGTTTTGTGCTAAATGTTGGGCTAACTGTGGTCTGGTTTTATGGAGTGAATTCTCATTAAGAGCACATATGTGAATTTAGGGAACCAGATGGATTGCTGCTGTCAGGAGGAGTATTTGGGGCTATGGGGAAGGGAAGCAGAGGAGACGTTACTATGGTACAATGGTGGAGACAGGTCCAGTATGTAGGAAGAGGACATATCTCTTGAGTGAGTGAGGTTTCAGTAAATTTGTTCTCCCCTCAACAAGAAAGTGCCATTCATGATTTCATGCAGTCACTTGGTGCAAATTCTGTTTATTTATTTATTTGCTTATTTTCAAAGAGGCACAGTCATATACCCAAACACCAATACTTTCTGTGTGCTGTGTGTCTAAACTCCCTTTAACAGAGAGCAACACGTGCTTCTGCAACATTTTTCAACGTGCTCTAAAGTAGATAAAAGATGAGAAAAATCCCCCCTGGCTTCCAGTGTCGTGGGTAAAGATATAACATTTTAGCAGTGGATCGTTGTAGTTTTGTGTTTGAAGTAGACTGTTTGCTGGGTGATGTTGACAGCAGTTGTTAATCAATTTTGCTAATCTATTCAGAGGATGTTTTCCAAGTTAAAACTTCGTCTTGCACTGTACATCGCTTGTCCTGTGAAGAATGCCTGAGATTTAGCAAAATCTTAGCTCATTCATGACTTACGAGTTACTGGCAATTGTGGATCTTTGACTTGTGATTCTATAGAGCTTCTAAGTATTTTATGATATGTAAGGGATACTTGAACGAATCTATTGCATAGACTCTTATTTCACTAGCAGTAGCATTTTTATCAAGTGATGGCATTCTGCATCTCTAAAATTAAATGGTAAGAGAATTGAGCTCAGCATGATTTGAGGCTGCTCAGGTGAACAGGAGGAGTAACTTCGGTTTTTGTGGAAATGTTATTGATGGTGTTTAACTGAAGCTGTATAATGCTGCTTGCAGTGGGGGAGGAGTACCCAGTTTCTGTTTGATTCCTTGGAGATCTAATGCTGATTAATAACTTACCTAAAGTGGGAGACAGATGGGCTGTAGACAGTCTGCTGTGGTCCTGTGTGAAACTAGACATTCTGAATTTAGTTCAGATGGATTGCTCAATGAGAGAGTCATGGGAACAAACTGCTCTGTGGTCTGTGCTGGCCTAGAGTGCTGTAAGAGCTCCAGGAGCCCAAAATATTTACCCTTTTTCCTCCTTTTTAAACAGGCTGTACTTTGCACTGCCCACCAATCCCGGGGAGCAGTTCTTTATGTTTTGCACACTTGCTGCTTGGCTGATCACTAAAGCAGGACATCCCTTCGAACAGCCACAGGAATATGATGATCCCAATGCAGTCATATCAAACGTGCTCTCCGAATTACGATCCTTTGTAAGTGCTGAACGTGCTGCTTTCCCCAATGTATTGCAAACACATGCATCACCTCCAGATATTACAGTAATCACATGCTTCCTGCCTTGCCTGGTCACATTTCCAAGAACCAGACTTTTCCTATCTATAAGTTTGTACTCTGTTACTAGTGAATTGGAACTTACATACTCTGTACATACTTGCTAATTTTTTTAGCACTGCAAAAAATGGTCTTATAATACTATGTATGAGTCCAATTAGTTTTGTTCTGCAGTCTGTAAAATGGATTAAACTGGCCTTGCTTTTTGCAGTGCTACATGTGTTACTCATTTATAGCAGCCTAATTTACAGAGATTTTATCTGGAAAGTTTACTCGTTACTTGTGATCCTGCTTCTGCCAAAGTCTGTGGTATAATTCATAATGAAGGAAATGGTTTAGAATAGTGTTCATGTTTTCTTTATTATTTTTTTTTTTGCTAAGGAGTAAAAGGTTGTATAAACTGCCAGGAACTACTGGTTTATTTTTTTTCTAATATTAAAAATTAACCCCAAAGGTCAGGAGAATATAGCAACTTACAGCAAGTATGATTTTATGGAAGATTATACAGCTGTGAATGATATTAAGAACACTGTTCTTTAAAGGAGGTAAACCATAAGAAACTATGATTTTTATTCTGCAG